AATATAGGTAGGAGGCTATGTTCATCTCACCCTTTAACATCACACTTATGTCATCTTGCTACAATATATAAACTAGTTCAGAGGTATAACATTTTTAAAAGAACACAAAGTGAAAAATTTATACAATTCAAAGAGAACCAGGTATATATGCATAATAGAAGTATAACTAAATTTAAGCAAGAATGGCTCCCATATATACTATATACCACACAGCAAGGGAAATACAAACTAAAGTTTATGTTTAAAAATACTGAAAATCAGTCAGAGTACAAAGAAGGGGGAAGTCAGAAATCAAATACTTATCTATATTATTTTTAGGTTTTTTTCCTTCTTAATTATAAATAATACAGTAGAGATTTATACTTTTTCATATCATAAACATAACTCAATGCACTTTGAATCACTGGGAGTCAGGTGACTTATAAATTTAATAAATTATTATTATTTGCCTAGCATGGTCAACCTTTATTAATGTTATATTGAGCATTAATTGTATAACTTCAGTAATTTTTGTGCACTTATTATATCTGCTGTTTTAAATAAATAAAATACAACATCCATAATTTTCAAGTATTTTCCAAATTAATCATATTTGTAGTTTAAGGCGAACCAACACTCTGTCCATGCCAGATCTGATTTTCTATGAACAGAATGTGTAAATGATTCTAATGCCAGCATCCAGTTTACCTTTGAGTGATGTTTGCTAAATTTTTTAATCTTGCTAACATCTCTAGATGAATATTCAGGCTGAACCTCCTTGCTCATTTGCTTTACTTGGCAAGCAATCACGATGGTCCTAGAAAGAAAGAAATCAAGACAATTACGCCTTTTCGTGTTATGTTAGCTTCTTGGGAAGACTAATACCAGTAATGTAAATGTTATTAGCTAAATAAATACAATATTAATTTAATGCTTCTACTGCATTGAGTTTCAAGATTAACCATTGTGTGAGGGACCTCTGGCAGATTCTGATGTTGAGCAGACATTCCAAGGTGAAGACCATATAGCTGTGCCAAAGGTAAGGCAGTCATTCAAGAGATAGCCATCTTCCAAACACAATTTTTCATTTTTAATTCAATAGAAGAGAATATGTGTACAGGGTTGAACTGTGGTCCTTGGGGTTCTCTGAGCTTGGTTGTTTTCTTGCAAACATTTCATTACCCAGCTAGGTAACATCTTCAGTGCTAAAATGGAATGGTGTTAGCCCTCTGTTTATAAACAGTGGCATGCCCTGCCAGTGTTGGTGGAGGTGTGGGTTTCGTTTTATTTTTTCCCCTTCTGGTAGTTCCTTGATTAGGGTATTGTTTACTGCTTGATTGTATCTCTGGTGATAATCTTGGTGTTAATCTCTGCTTATCTGGGTGGTGATTGCTGGTGAGGAGAT